ACTTTGTTGTAAGTGGTTATCTGGATAGACACTTGTGGATATTTGGTGGTGAAGTGTATTTGTCTTTCTAGAAGTGGTTGTATACTACTTTGTGGAGAGTGGTGCGCGTATTATTTGAGAGAGAAGGATCAGAGGTTGACCAGTACCTCTTTTCTGGAATCCAAGTGAGACTGGTGAGTGACCGACCCTTACACGGTCCAAAAGAATAAGTAAGGGCTACATATTTGTATACTTGTATAATTATCCGTGTTGTTGTATTATCTCTCTGGAAAGGTCTTCTTCATAGTCCATTTCCAGTCGCTGACACGTCGTTTAGAAGTAACGTCGGTGCCAGCGTCCTGCTCCATTTGGTTATCCACTCGGTGGATTACTTAGTACCACAGTCAAACGTACCAGATTCCGCAAGGTCACACGCCAGCTCCCCAATTGTGTGTTCAGTCGTCTATCTGAATCACACCTTCGGAGAGTTCTGACCCCAAACACCTTTTTGGTTGTTTACCTCTGGGCATCGTACTATACACTTGAGCAGTTTAGGCGTTTACCCGCCTCGCGTCATACTACCAATCTCAGCAACTGATCACGATCATCCCCCGATCTCGGCGTGGGAGAGCAGTAGAAGAGTAGATCCTGTTCGCCTACCTCATAGTCGGCAGCGATCTTTCCGTACGACCTTGCTTCTGCTTCTGTGAGGTCTGCGATCGCGCCACTCAGATACTTCTTCATGCCTGTGATCCAGACTCCCTCCTCCTGAGCTCGCTTGATCCGATCGACCCCCATCTCCCGGATCAGGTCCTCTTGCATGAAACCCAATCTCACTCGGGAAGCTCGGGTGGTGACCGCTGAAACTCGCACCACTGGGTTCTCGGTCCTGGGAATCAAGATTTCGTCTAACCGGTTCAGAGTTATCAGAACCTAGTACCCGGGACCTCTCTGGGCCTCGATCCCGCTTTGTTGTTGCAAAGCTGCACTCGCCAGACTGTCGGCACTCCCATTCCAGTCTCTCTTCATATGCACCAGTTCGTGCTCGCTCCATTTCCTCAGACGATTGAGAGCCTTTTGCTTCAATAGCGTCAGCCCGGGTGCTTTACAATCAAACTCACCCGGTACTTGTCGGATCACAAAGTTGGAATCACCGTAGACCACTAGGCGTTTGTGAGCTAGGTCCTCTAGCATGTCGAGTCCCAGGATCAGGCCGTTATATTCTGCTTCGTTCACGGTGAGGCCCTCGAGATATCCTGATCTAGCTTTGCCACCTCCCATCCGGGTAGACTCCACACGATCGTGCTGAACGCGGCCCCGCCACGCTTCACTCGAGCGGATCCGTCAAAACTTATCATCCATAATTCCTCTTCTCGATCTACAGTGGGTATCGGGGCTTGGATCCGGCGTTTAGGTTCCTTTCTGGAACAAAGTCGGTCAGAGCGTCGTCGATTTTCGCTTCTCGGTGTGATGCTGACAGCGATCGCCCCCAGTATCTCGTCCTCGCCTTTCGTGCACTTCGTGATCTCGAGAGTCCACGGGGCCAGGAGGGATGACCATTGTCCTAGGCGACCCTGTAACCCTGTCGACTTGAACAGCCAGGCTAACGCGAAATGTCTCGTTAGGACCCGGATCTCGCATCTTATTAGTAAATTATAGTAGAGATCCAAGCCCCTCAGCAATGCCAACACCTCCTTTTCTGTCACATTGTAATTCAACTCGTTCGTCTTCAAGGCGCGGCTGGCGAACGCAACCGGATGGTAGGTTCCGTCGTGTTCTTGCGTCAACGAAGCGGATGTCGCCCAATCGCTGACATATACAATAACTACCGGCGTTCTCGTCTCGTCGAAGTGGCGGAGAATTGGGGTCGTCGCGATTTTGGTTTTCAGGGTGGTGAAGCTTTTATGTGCCCTGATCCACATCTCATCTAATTGTTCCGCCAGCTACAGTTCCGGTGGACCGTTATCCCGTGCAATCGGGTCGTTCTGGTGACACGATGTCGGTGAAAACTTTTCGTGTAGGAGAAGTATAGCGTAGCCAGAATCGTAAAGCCACCTAGGATCTAGGAACCTCCAGAATTTGGACACTCAGGAT